AACACCTCAATTTTTTTTTCTAAGCGATCTAAAAGCCTGTGCTATATCCGAACAGTTATTACACAGACTACCAAATATATCACGGCGTCCCTGAAAGAATTATTTTTAATCAATAAATTCTAATTTAGTTCAAAGAAAGCCACGCTGTTGTTTACAAACATTCCAAAAAAATATTTCATGTTTCATGGACCGACACTTGGTTAAATTTTCTCTCATCACTTTAAGTACTCCCCCCCCTTTAACATGTTTAAAATGAATATACAATGTCTTCCTTCTGAGCCGAGAATGTTAGTTGGTTGATTTGTTTTTGTACATGCGTATATACATGTAGATTAAGGCTGGTGTTGAATTCCGAAAGAAAGTCACAACCTATTTTTTTATGTAAACCAATAATCATTCTATGCCCCGCCATGAATATAATATAATATATATATATGGGATATAATGTTTGTCATGTCGGACGTCTTCCATCCTGACTTATCTCCTTCCGTCACACTTTGCCTTTAGCTAAGTTCAAAGCTCGTCCGTAGGACAATTTCAAACAATCTGTGCCCCGCCATGAATATATATTATATAATATATATGGGATATAATGTTTGTCTAACCAAGATATTTTTAAAAATAATAAAACTTCATACACAGTATAGCTGAAGAAAAAAAATAACAGACAGGAGAGTTGTACTGAGCCACCCACTGAAAAAACCGGTCCTACTAAACAGAGTACGCTAAGTACTACATATGTACGATAGAAGACTTTAGAGTAAGCTAGTAATAACTGTATATTTATTGCGAAAAAGTTTTTGAAATATTTCTTCAAACTGAAAGCCTTTTATTGCCTAACGTCACGCTAAGGATCAATATTTCCTGGGTTCGAAGAGGTCACAGTTAGCCAGCAAAATTTTGTGCATGCTGATTATCATCGGAATTGTTACATGCATTTCAGCAACAACAGTTATCTATTCTGTTAGCAGAAAAATAAACACATTGCTAATACAATACATTGATGGATGTATTTATTTTCTCTAGCCTTTTGCTAGCATATATTAATTTCATGCGAGTTCTTATACGGATATATGTCCGTTTGACCTTTTTTCTGCGTTTCTATACTTCTGGATTAGTCCATTTGTCTTCTAGGTAAGGAGTGACACTATTATTTCGCGCCAAAATGTCACGTGTAGGTTTTTGCACCCTTTTTCTGGACTATTCCATTGAATGAAAATGAAAACTGCATGAATTATGTAAAGCCTGTTCTTTTTTGTCAGAATCCTGGTCGACCTTTGGAAAAAAAAAACAAACAAACAATTCAGTGACATTGTGAAGTGAGTTAGAAGTTACATCATTTAAAGTAATAAAACATTTGATGTTGACCCCTCATCTCTGGGAAAAACTTCCTGAATCCGCACCATGGCATTCATATATCGCCGTCAAGTTTGTTGGGTCATTTAAAGCTTTAATTATTTTTCCCACGTTTCAAACAATCTTTGATACTTTGGCATACCCAAGAAACTATTAATCATATTCTACACGTCAGTCATAATTGTTAGATCCCCAATTTCTTGTAGGTATCATATTTTCAGCTGCCACCTTTATATTTAGCCATGCTTTCAAGCATTAATCAAATGTTTTTCCTTATTTACGTCATCCTCTAAAACCATTTTAGACTTGCGGACAGATGTGTTCATCTATAGCGGGACATGATCATGATTTCATTTTTTATTTGAGATACAAACAGTATACATATATGGTTTATGTTTTGTGCAACATCTCCATAATTTACTCCAGTGAAATAATTTAACACCCCCCCCCCCAATGTAAACGTTTATAGTTTATTATGCTCATAGATTCTATAGATATTGATGACATTAGTCAGCCAAGCTTTTTAAAAAGCTGCTACTTGTGTTATTATTTGTTTATTTATTCGCGCAAATGACATTGGGTAGTAAAGGAGCTCTGGGAATGTTGCACAGCAAAATTTGCTTGACGTGTGTGCAATTCCGAACTTCTTTTCTTACACGTTATTCTATTGGGCTCGCTGCGCTCGCTATTATACGGTTCTTGAAAATGAAAGAAACGTCGTAGTCTTTAAGAAAAGTAACCGATTTTCTCGATTGTACAAACATTTTCTAAGAAATTAGGGGGGGGGTTAAGTTATACAAAGAAAAAAAATACATGTAATATGTGTCATATTAGATTTCCGACGTGCAGTGATCTGATACATGTGTACTGTATTTATGAGAGGTTCATATCTCTTCCCTCGTCTGAAAAGTGTCGCATCCATTGATATTTTCTTTTTTGCTACGATTTAATGCTTTAAAAATGATGTCTTTATTTAATTTGGTTATTTTCGATATATAAATATCTGTCCCACATGTCTGTGGGATGCGATAGTAAAGTGTCTGCCGTCCGTTCGTCTGTCTAGCTGTCTGTCTGTCTGTCTGTAAACAACTTTTCAAAATACTTCTCTTCCTACCGTTTTGGTCTGATTTCAATATAACTTGGTACACAAGTACACATCTCTAAGATACATACATGTAGTATAGTGCATCGGTTTTTGAATGCTTTAAAATGCGACTTCTTCAACAGTTTTTGTCTGAATTCAATATTGCTTGGCACATAAGTAGCCTTCACTAAGATACAAAATATCGTGCATCCGTTTTTGATTTCAATGAACGGTGTTGCCATGGTTACTAAAAATAGAAATTTCTGTATAAAATTCCTTACAAATGCTACTCCTCCTACAGTTTTAGTTTGATTTCAATATAACTGGACACACAAGTAGACTTCAATGTGATACATAATTAAGTGCATCGTTTTTAATTTCGATGAACGGTGTTGTCATGATTACAAAAAAATAGAAATTTATGTGAAATTCCTTTAAAACGCTACTCCTTCTACAGTTTTGGTCTGATGGCAATGGCTAGTTTTCTCTTCCTTTGTTATAAGTACAAACAAGTAGAGCTATAGTCTCGACATTGTGTTGAATCCAATGAATCATTTTGCCTCGATTATAGTCAGAAAAAACTCATGGCTGAACATATCCAGTCATATGGACGAGTCAAGATTAGTGACAGTGAAACTGTAAATTCGCTACCATTTTTCTACTAGTGAAACATTGCTGATATAATGCAGGGTGGGACGTGACCTTGACTCGAGTTCAAAGTCCCCAAGGATAAGATGTTTTTGATTGGATGCATGGACAGAAAGAATATCTAAATAAAATGTTTGAAATTTTCCAGACGGTAACACATGGATAATATTTTTATAACGAGAGCTAGTCATTGCTTAGATCAAGGTCATTTGGAGAGTTCAAGGTCACTTGGAAAGTTCAAGGTCACACATATTCCTTTACAGTCTTTTTCCTAACTAAACATTGCAAGTTGCTTCTCTTAAAAGGTTTAAATTTTCATTTGTAGAACTTTAGAATGTGGCTTTTGACCTAGACTCAAGGTTACGTCTTCTTATCCGTAGATCCAACGGAAGACCTATTCGTTGCTTTGCAACGAGCTCGGCTCTAGTTTAGCATATCTTTATAAAACTGCTTATTTTGGTCTTTTTTAAGTAAAATATCTAAATATGAAGCAGATATATGGAATGATATGGAGATAACGAACAGTATTCTGTCTCAAAGTCCATAAAACAATACAAAATAAGAGCAGAGCAAACACTGACCCCCGAAACAACAGAGGTGGGATCAGGTGCCATGTATATATCTCACAGATGAAATCAACATTATGCTAAGAAAAAAGTAAGAAAATCCACCTGAATCACAGAATCTAAGGAAACAGAAAAAAAACTCACCGAAACTATGTATTTTTGTTTAATAGAAAATATAAATACAGAGGACGACAGAAAATATTTACATGTTATAACATCAATATTATTATCATATACACGAATCACTGTTTAATTATAAAGAAACTGGTATTACCATTTATTTGACATTTTTCATTTAATATTTATGACAATATGACAACAATTACATTAAACATATAATTATTCATAAAGGTGTTCTTTATATTTGAATGGCCAATTTATTGCAACTCTAAATGTAAATTATACATTATATTATCAATAAATTTTACAATATGTCCAAGGAGATATTGTTCCATATCGTTTCACAAATAAAATGCTATAAGATGTATTAATATCTCATACGATAACCTAAAAACCTAAGTACCAGAATTGACCGGGGAATACCTAAAATTACTATTAAAAAAATCTCTAACCTAAGATGTGAAATACAAAATTAATTTTTATTTCTTTATTTCACTTAATCTTATAAAAAGCTTAAAAGTAAAATAAACATATCTAAATGCAAAATATAAATAAAACTGAGTTTGTCTAGAACTTCTATTTCTAATATTCATAATATATGACTACCCCATGCCCCTTTCCCATCAACATTACGCAGCAGGGCGTGTTATCCCTATTGTATTTCAAGAACAAAAATGAAGTTTTTGATTAACGTTTCATTTCAATGATATAAAGTTATTATATTCATTAATTATAAATCCAAGAACACAATGAATAGTTATAACCCAATTAATTACCCCTTGTGAGGTCAACATGGTGAAATAAGGACCCGGTACCTGGCCCACGAGGTGACCTGACCTGACCGAGGCCGCGTAGCGTCATCGAGTGGGCCAGGTCAAGGGGTAATTAATTGTTTTATTATACCGATATATATTGAAAAGTATGAATCTCTAACCGTTATCAATTCTTTCTTTGATTGGGATCGGGATTCGGTACAGACCGGATAGTGAAGTTGTTTACATTGACGTCTGCAAGTCGTGTAAGTTTTTGCATCATGATTTACTGATTAAAACATTATTTGGTTCATAGCGACATATATTGTTATAACTAACGATTACTTTTCCTTTACACAGTCAAAATCTAACACAGAACTCAACTCTTTAAAGAGCCGCCTCTACATTCCATAAACTGAATATTGTAACGAAATATTCACTGTCGTGATCCCGTGCCGGATTGGACAAAACAAGATGGCGGCGGGAACGATTCGAAAAAGGTAGGTATCTGAGATTTCAGTTAATATCTCCATTAACCATCAGATATACTTGCTCTGAGGATACTGTCGAATTCCTAGTAAAGTGTTTATTTATGTGGTCGATTGCTACCTTTCCTATCCTCTCTCAAACGTGAACATTTAACGACTGAAGACAGCAATATTTTCCCGATTGAGTTTGAAGCGGCACAAAGTTGTTTTTTTCTTCGATTTCGACCGTTTTATAAATCCAGCAGCCGGCCTGTGGCAACAAAATGAGAACTTGGTGTAATTCTGACCTAGTGTCATATGCATTTTGGTCAAACCCCGTTTTGTTACAAAAATATTGCGATTTAAAAATGTTGGCATGTGCTGGATTGGAATCGGTTAATTTTAATGGAAAATGTGCCGGATTAGACTGCATTTTTGGTGCCGGATTGGATGATGCTTATGATGGTCATTTTAATAATCTTTTTTCTCTTTTAGTTTTAAAGCCATGGACGCATCATTCAGAGAATTACCAGACGGAGGAATTTGTGAGGCATGTGGTCGGGAGTACAGATCAAAGTGCGCCCTGCTAAAGCATATTAGAATTAAACACGACCAACAGAAACTTGCCTTTACTTGTGATGATTGTAACAAACGTTTTTCTGACCGCCAGCAGTTGAATGCACATTTGGAGAAGCATGACAAGTGCGAAAGATTTAAGTGTGACACTTGCAGTCAAACATTCACATACAAGCACAACCTTACAAGGCACATGAAAAAACACCCCACTCCAAAGGTTCACACTTGTAGCTACTGCAGTCAGGAGTTTGGGAGAGGGGACACCTTACTACAAGACATTAGAGTAGTGCACGACCAAGCAGCCAAGTACACTTGCAACATCTGCGGCGGCTGCTACAGATGGAAATTTAGCCTACGGCGGCACATGAAAAAACAAGCATGGAGGAATTTAAGTCTGAGGAATAGACATTGATCATGACAACCGAATATATACATTTTTTTTTTTACATCTTAGATAAGATAAATCTGTGATAATTTCAAATGCAATGCAATAGTACTTATTTTTCTCATTTACATTTTTTCGTAAAGTTTTTATATTATTTTATATTATTTTTCTTTAACACATTTAACTTTTTGTTCGTTATGATTATACACAAGAAGTGTTCATGACTGTTATTTTTATTAAATGTTAAAAATTTTTCAGATATTTTCTTCGTCTTTTTAAATATCACTTCCCCGGATTAGAAAAAGGAATACTTTTGCCCCTATTGATTCTTTTTTCTAGCTAGTTATTATTTTAGCAAATATTATTCTAAGTAATTTTACAGTAAGTTGATGTGCAATGTAATAGACAAAACCATTTTATCCTTTGAACTATACAAACAAACGTGAAAATCTAGTACTTGACATGGGTTTGTACAGTAGTAATTTGCATTTAAAAATTAGCTCTGGTTTAGACTTTAATACTGATCAAACAAAAAATACTAATATTAATACAAGAAGCAGAAATTTGAAAAAAAAAGAAGCTGCAAAAATTATGCATTACCATAGTGTAAAAAAGTCCCAGTCGAAATGATCAACATTTCAAAAAAGAGAAATGTCACTTTATATACTCATTATTTTCGTTCGACTAGTCTTTGCAAAGATTGAGCAGTTCAAGTTCATATAATTTTATTAGTCTTTTTATAATAAGCATTGTAATTATACAACAATTAGTATTAAAATACAAATCCATGTTTTTCAGTAAACCTGTACAGTTAGTAAGCCAGAGGAATTAACCTAAACATCATTAAGAACGAGGCCTCTTCTGACATGAGGTAACAATTTTGCTTCATGTGCACGATGGAATTCTCGTACGGTAAGAGGTTTCGCGGACGGTTCCTCTGGCTTACTAACTGTTCCTCTTTTCCTTTTTCTGGCTCCACGAGCCCTTTCTGGTTTATCAAAACCGTGGTCTCTACAAAAGAAATACAGTGTATGGTCATAACAATTTGAGATAAAAAGAAAAAGTCTAGAATAATTAAAAAGATTTTTAGGGGGGGACCATACCTGATAATAATATTACTTATATCCTTCGGTATAGACAAGCTTGAAGGAGAAATGTCCATTATCATGTCATACGTAGTACTGGGATAGACTTTGCTGCAACTTGTATACATATGGAATACCCTATACACACAGAACAAAACATTTTATATCGGAAATGGGAAAATCTGATGAAAGAAACTGATTACATCACATTTGTCATTCATTCAAAGGTTCAACGAAACAAGTAAATGTTATATAATACTTACTTGTTTGGATCCAGTCTAGCTTCTTGCAACTCTGCAGCTACACTTATGGCAGTTGGTATAGAATCTGGACGTAGAACTCCAGTTCCCCAAGGATCGTAGTCTTGAAACCCACCAAAAAAATTCTCTACGTCAAGGCTGCCAATACAACGGACATTGTACCTGCCACTTTTAACTAGTGGGAATAGTTGTATTCGACGTTCAATTCCTGTCAATAGCCCTTCATACAAAATAACTGGAATACCTTTGACAAAAGCGCCTGGTGGAGGAAACTCTCCAAAATTGATGCCGTCCAAGAGCCAGTCTCTAAATTTAAGGCGGTGTTCACATCGAATAATAGCTGGTATTCCAGGATCGTCTTCCGCTTTATACCAGTGTCTAACTAGTGAACAGAACTCTGCTTCCTCGTGCGCTCCAATTGCGTTTAATGCTGCCTCTACCTTTTCCGAAAATGTCTGTACTGCATATGCGACACTCTGCTTATCTATCATGTCTTTCACAAGAGCCACACTGAGACCACATCCATTGAATTCACTCTCCTCAGCAACTTTGTGCAAAGGTTTGTTTGATATTCCAGCTTCTGGGATGCCGTTTGAACATAAAAGTCTCCGTAGTCCACATAGTTGATGATAAGCATCAAGTATCATAAAAACATAATATCCCACACAAGTATTCATTTCCGGATAACTGTACCATTGCTTTCTTTTCTCAGATGAACTTCCTTCAATATTAATGTTCTTTCCATATGGACATGATCCGTACCATTTTTCTAATTCTACAGGAAATACATTTTCCGAGAGCACAATGTTTAATTTTTCTTTAGGTATTTTATTAAGGGATGATCTACACAGTGCTTTGAGTGTGTTAACCTTGTAGGTCTTTCTTGACGTTGGAGTAGACAGTTCAGTATTGTTGCCTAGCAGCTTGGAAAACAAATTCACATGTAAATATTTAGGGTCCGTTTTGTTTGCCTTGAATCCGTGGATTTTGAGTTTTCCTAAAATAGGTTTCAGACACAACTGCAGCTCATAGGCCAGAAAGTTTTTATTGATTTCGGGTGCACTTTTCATTTTTGCTTTGAAATCAGTAGAACTGATCATCCAGATGCTCGTTCTTTTGGATTTGGTGTGAGCTTTTAACTCTTCCAGCATCAAACTGATATCATTTTCAGTTACCAAGTCTGCATTTATATTTGTCTTCTCAGGATTATCCATCTGATTTTGTCTAGGTTCTTCTGTATTTAAATCCTGTGGTTCATTTTCTTCACTAAACAATGCTGTCAAGTCATCAAAATCGGATTTGGAACTGGGTGAGCTATTCTGTTTTTCAATACACTGCACCTCCATTACGAGATCGTCATCCATCTGAGAAACAACTGCTGTAGGAAGACACCTCATTATTCCATTGTCTATCTCGCTCTGAGTCTCTTCTCTTATCACTGGACATTTAGATTTTTCTCTCAACAAATGGACAGTTCTTTGGGACATTACAAATGCTTTATCTTCTGAATTGCTCCAAAGATAAATTGCTGGACGCGGTTGTTGTTGGATTTTGAATCCCACAGAGCTCTTCAAATCATCGAAGGATTTAATTTCTCTTGTTCTTACAACATTCCTTGAAGATAGAATCCGTACAATTTCTGATTTGGAAAGTTTTCTTACATTGTTGTAAACATCTTTCTGTAGTTGTAAAACAGTTAAAGGCCGGTTTTGTTCATCACGAACAGCAACTTTCCACCATTGTCCATCAAAAGAACAGACAGGAATATAAAGTCCCCTTCTTGCACACTCAGTCAGGACGGTCTCAATCATTTTTCTAACTGTGCATGTTGGTAAACTGTAACTCTTTAACCCGTAAGCTATTGGTACTGAGTGTAATTGCTCATAGCTAAATTCCCGATCTAGATCGGAAATCATAAAGGCAAGAAGCTCCGAGGCTTTCGTCCTTGTAAGATCATATGCTCTCTGTACATCATTACGGGTACTTGACAACAATTCAATAAGAGTATCAAGAGAACACAAATGAGATGTAGACGTGCTTCTTTCACATGCTGATGACTTGTCTCCTTGAATAGATCGGACTTCGGCTATCAGTTCAACATGGGATGCACCATACTGCAAAATTAAATCTTGAATTTCCTTACTGGACTGTGACTTCCTACTTGGTCTAGAAGATTTCTCATCAAATATTACTGACGATTCTTGTTCTAATCTCTCCCAAATATCAACATTGTATGTTGCCCTTTGAATTGTTGTAGATTCTTTACTGTAACTGATAAAGTACAACTGTTTCGCGCTTAAGCAGTGCATTTCTGAAATTATTTGTGGTACATAGTACTTTGGAATGGAATAGTGCACTGTAGTAGAGTAAGTTTTTCCAGGAAATGGACACTTGCACTCAATACCATATATTGCTTGATCATTCACAGACTTTCTGCAGCTACCATCGGGGCTTACAATTATTCCTACATTGTTATTTGTTGTTATTTTGTAACATCCTTCTTCAAAGTAATAAAGATCAGGATGAAAAACGGGGAGGAATTTTCCAGCAAATGTTGCAATGGCGTGAATTTCATTGTCAACACCGTACTGCATTTTTTCTTTGACAGACGAAGTTGGCTCTGGTTTTTCCTTTCCAAATAGAACACAGTCATAATGTTCTTGCTGACATTTGAGGGTACCTAATGCTAGCGCGTTAAACATTGTGCTACCAGTAATTTTTGCAGTGTTTCTAACCGTATGCCAAGCAGGACTTCGTTGCTCTATATATCGATAAGTTGTACAGTCATCTTTGTTAACTTGTTCTAGAGACGATATGGAAATATGGTCGCCGCTGCTTTTTAATGGGAATGTTCCGTCAATCCACACTTTTGAGTCATTAAGATGTGCAACAACCATGCATATGTCATCAATATCTCGTAACAAGTTTTTAATGCAAGCTTTCATGTCATACAGGTGAGTTATTAGCCCACTAATAACAAATACAAGTCTTGATTTTCTCCAGTCACCAGTTGTACCACTTGTCGACTCGATCAATTTATTTTTGTTGACTTCTTTCTGCACCATACTTTCCCGCAATGTTTGTAGGCGTTTAGTTAGTACAGTGATGATTTTTTTGAGAGTCTCTGCAATCTTTCACTTTTCTACATGTGAGAGATCTTGAAATTGTTCTGAGTATTGCTGTTTCATCTGCAGATAATCAGAACACTTTTCAATAAGCACAATGTCCGCATCAAGAGCTTCTCTCCTTTCTTTAGTAGTAGGAGTTGATTCAAACCCCCAAAGATCAACATCACCATGTTTTCCAATGAGTGACGAGTTGATTTTTTTTCCATCAACACATAATTTAAAAGTCTTGGTGGTCTCAGATTGATTACTGAATTTATCTAATAGAGAGTATAGAATTCCAGGTGCAACATCCTTTGAAGCAATTGGTGAGTTGCTTTGAGACACAATATCCCTGTGGGGAACAACAAAGTTAATATTACTACTGAAAGGGTTATAATTACCCTTTTCATTTTCTCCAGTAACAACTGATCCTGTATGTTTCGGTCCACTCATAAATCTCAACCATTTACCATGGAAAAGTTTGTATCCAACTCTCCAAAACTGCTTCACTTTGTCTGAATATCTCATTGTAGAAGTATTTTCTAGTGATAAAAATTTCACAACGTCCATAAAGA